AGAGAGTTTGCTATGAGACTGTGTCACTTAGGAATGTCAGAAGCTACACTCATAAAGTCTCACCAACATGATTGCCTAAACATGAGTTTAACAAGGACAACAGTCATGCCAGAGTAGACAGTGTAAATAGCAGGAAGTCCTACACAAAAAACTACAGGCAAAGAAGGAATGCTGAGAGCAGGAGAAATAGTCTCTTCAGGGTGGAGAGCACCAATTGTTTTTCCAATATTAAATGTTTAGCCCTGAAAACATATATAGTAGCATTACCCAGGCTGAGGAGATTATATGTATATGTATGAATATTCATATATGCGTATAACACTGATTAATGGAGGACCCTAAGAAAGATATGCATGATAACCCAGAGAAGGGGAACAGGACAGAATCTTCTAAGGAGATTGGGAGCATGGTGGCAGGGGAGGTGGGAGAAAGAGAGGGGGTGAAGAGGAGGGGAGAGGAGGACATGGGGGAGCAATATAGTTGAGTAGGGGGAAGAACAGAGGAGAGAAGGATGAGAGATACCATAATTGAAGGCGCCATTATAGATTTGAAGAGAGATCTGGCACTAGTTAGATGTCCAGAGGCCTACAAGGATGACACCAGTTGGCAATCTAACCAATACTAGAGAGGCTACCTTAAATGCCCTTCCCTGATAACGTGATTGGTGACTTCCTTGTGTGCCATCCCAGCGCCTTCATCCAGTAGCTTAAGGAAGCATAGACAGACACCCACAGCTGGACACTCAACTGAACTCCTGGAACCCAGTTGCAGAGAGGGAGGAGTGATGAGCAAAGGGATCATGACTGGGCAGATGAAGCCCAAAGAAACAGCTGACCTGAACAAAAGGGATCTCATGGATCCCAGACTGATAGCTGAGAGGCCAGCATGGGACTGATCCAGATCCCCTGAACGTGGGTGTCAGTGAGGAAGCCTCAGCATCCTTTGGGGCCTCAGGGAATAGATCAGCATTTAGCCCTGTCATCCAGATGGAATTTGGGAGTCCATTCCACTTGGAGGGATGCTGTCTCTGCCCTGACACGTGGGGGAGGGCCTAGTCCCTGCCCGGATCATATGACAGACTTTTGAGATCCCCCAAGAAGGGCTTCACCCTCCTTGGAGAGTGAAGCCGGAATTGAAAGAGGGGTTGGGGGAGGGTTGAAGAGGGTGGGAGAGGAGAGGATGGAGAGGGAGCTGGGATTGACATGTGAAGCAAGCTTGTTCCTAATTAAAATTAGATAAAAAAGTGAGCAAGGATGGATATATAGAAGGATTTGGAGTAGGAAAGGGAAGCAAGAAATGCCTACAGTGCTCTAATGGAAGGCCACACATCAAGAATATATGGGGAAGACTAATTGAACTTGATGGATTTAAAAAGGAGTCTAAAATGGCTGAGAGACACTTGAGAAAGTGCTCAACCTCCCTAGCCATCCTGGAAATGCAAATCAAAATAACTCTGAGATACCATCTCACTCCTGTCAGAATGGCTAAAATTAAAACTCCAGCTGACCTGAACAAGGGGGAGCTCATGGACCCCAGATTGATGGCTGTATGGAAAGCATGGGACTGATCCAGACCCCCTGAATGTGGGTGTCAGTGAGGAGGCCTAGGTAATCTATATGGTCTTGGGTAGTATTTATCCCTGGCATACAAATAGACTTTGAGTGTCCATGCCACAATATGGGAGGCTCTCTTAGCCATGACTCTTGGGGGAGGGCCTAGACCCTGCTCTGGATGAAATGAAAGTCACTGGAGATCCACCATGGAGGGTCTCACTATCTCTGGGGATCGGGGTGGAGATTGGGTGGGGGATTGGGGTGCCTGGTAAGGAAGTTGGGGGAGGGGGGGAGAGGGAGCTGGGATTGACATGTGAAACAACATAGTTTCTAACCTAAATAAAAATAATAATAATTTTAAAAAAGAATATGACACAAACTTTAAATAAGGGACCTGGGGTGTGTCTGAGGAGTTGGAGAAGGTGAAGAATACAAAAAAAGCATATGTGTGAATTCTCAAAGAACTAATAAAAATTAAAAACATTCATTCACCTTGGTCAAGTAGGTTTCATGCCACAGATAAAAGAATAGTTCAATATATGCAAAAACTAAATGTAAGTAAGTCATGTAAGAATGTCATGATGACATTCATTATTTTCCACAATTAGATTATCTACTAAAAATCAAAACCATTGCTAGAGAAGAAAACTAATTGTAATAAAAATTAAAAGAGTGGAGTATTGAATGCTACCAATTAACTTCTGTGTGGCTTTGAGCACTGTCATAATTTGTAAAGTGAGACTCCCAAAAATATGTATGAAACTCCCAAGAACAAAAAGTGTCCTTCTGTAAAAATTTGACCTTTGCAGAAGTCATCAATCCAAAATGAGAGCATTGAGTTGAACTTCATCCAACATAATACTAACTCTTTTGTCAATAAGGATCAATGCATTGGGGAAACAACTCAAGGGATAACTTATAGCAGCACACACATGACCTCAAAGTCAGGGAGGCATGGCGTCCACAATTAATCCCTGTTCTAGAGAGGCAGAGGCAGAGGCAGAGGCAGAGGCAGAGGCAGAGGCAGAGGCAGAGGCAGAGACAGAGGCAGAGGCAGAGGCAGAGGCAGAGACAAAGACAGAGGCTCTTGAGGCAGAGGCAGAGACGGAGACAGAGACAGAGGCCCTTGAGGCAGAGGCAAGCTAAATAGATAGTCTAGCCCAAATTGGTGAGCTCCAGGTTTAGTGAGAGTACCTGTCTCAATAAATAAAGTAGATAACTGTGGAGGAAGATACTATATGTCAATTCCAGGTCTCCACATGCACACACACACACACACACACACACACACACACACACACACACATTCAAAACCCCCACCCACACTGACAACAAAAATAGAGTGCTCAAGCTGATCTAGATGACTCTGTTGATTTGGTATTATCATGGACTAAAACTTCTAGCTTGGAGTATACCCTCCCCTCCTTACAGTATGAAACTTGCTCTTGTATTTGAAGTACAGAGATCTGGATAATACACTATCAAGCTACATAAGGATGAGAGGATTAGGTAGTGAAAAGAGCAACGTGAACTAGAGGAAGTAATTGAAATTCTGATCATTGACAAACCCCTTCTCAAGCCACATGGAGTAATTTCCAGCTACATCAGTTCTATCAGCCATACTGACTAGTGACAAGGGGTCCTCAGTCATTAGCATTTGCCTTTTAGCAGAAACCCCAATAAAACTACTATTCCTAGTAAAAGAAAATGTATATATTAGGAAGCCAACAATATCCAGCATGTTATACAAAGGTATCATACTGATAACTATGTATTCCATAATCTGAATACAGTACTATTGCTCTCCTCTTCAGGGTGTGTTTTGAAAAATATGCACCTCTAATATATATATGCAGATTATCAGACTATATCCAAATCAAATGCTGTATTTCCTGTCTAAATTAGGCATCATTTTTTAAATCTCAGACTCTCCATACAGTGTTGAACATCACTGATGAATCCAAGGATTCTTTATGTAAATTACATCCACTGCTATATGTACAATATTAGAAAATATAAAACTAAATTCAATACTAATTATATTAGCAAAACAGAGTGATTTCACTTATTATATAAAGTAACAAACCATTCTAGAGTAGCTAGCTTGTTTTGTGAAAAGTGTAGAGTGTAGCCTTCCTTGCCAGCCGCCTAGGCCCTGCCACAGTTGCAGGTCCCAAATAACTCACAGGACACTATATTAATTATGAAGCTAGCTCTGACTTAAGTATTTAATCCACAATTGTTAATAAGTATTTCTCTTACAGGAGAAAGGGTCCGGACCTCTTACTTCTATGGCGGCTAAATGATGTCTGCCTGTGTCTTTCTTTCCCAGAATCCTCCTCCCTATTGGCCAACAGTGCTTTACTAACATATACATAGGACTTCCCTATCAAATAAGTATATTTTCAAAAATTGTAGTGGGAAAAACAGCATTGCTTTATACGTTTGCTCATCTTATTTATGCCTAGATTAATAGAGCACAACTGAATTTGACAGATTGTTACATCATTCAATCCATTGCAATGTATTTTTTAACTGAAGTATATGAATAAAATCTGGCTTCCATAGGTACATAGTCATAAAAAACTTCTTTCCAATAATCCAGATATTTTTCACTGATACTACACTCCAACTTATTACAACAATCATATTGCATGATATTAAACTGAATCAGTCTATCTCTTGCTACCTTTCTTTCCCTCAGGTATAGTCTTGACCTCCTAGAACATCTCCTTGAAAGTTATTAGTTTTAGAGTTGGGGGGACACGGCAGGGGTTGAGGGAGGGTAGCTAAGAGGAGCTGGAGGGAGGAAAGGGAAGAAGAAATGCATGTAATTTTTTCAATTAAAAACAAATTTTTTTATCATTTTTTATTTTAATTTTAAATAGCTTGTTTTACATGTCAATCCCAGTTCCCTCTCCCTCCCCTCCTCCTGCACTCCCCTTCCCCCCCACCCTCCCACCCTATTGCCAAATCCTTCCACATAGGGGATATCTAGAGTCTGGCATTTTACTCTGGGTAGGGTCCAGGCACTCCCCTAAGAGTCCAGGCTGAGAGAGCATCCCTCTTTGTGCTATAGGCACACGAAGACTGTTTGTATACCAGGGATAGACACTGATCCACAGCTCAGGGCCCCATAGGTTGCCCAGGCCTTCTCGCTGACACTCACATTTGGGGGGTCTAGATCAGTCCCATGCTGGCCTCCCCACTGTCGGTCTGGGGTCCAAGAGCTCTCCCCTGTTCAGATCAGCTGTTTCTGCTGGTTTTGCCAGCCCATTCTTTGCCAATTTGCTCATCACTCCTCTCTCTCTGTCACTGGGTTCCTTGGGTTCAGTTCAGTGATTAATTGTGTATTTGCCTCTGTTTCCATCAGTCACAGGATGAAGGCTCCCGGATGGTTATAGACATCAAGTTCATTATCAGGAATGGGCATTCGAGGTGGTCTCTCCACTATTGCTTAGCTTGCGCATGCTGGTAGGATTTGCTAAAAACAAATTTTAAAGGGGCTTATATAGATTGCTTTGATTATTCACTTACTAGCTTTTCATACATTTAAATGTTCACCAATCAATAATATGCTAGAGTTTGGATTAGCAACCATTTGCTCACACAGTTATCTTCCTACAGCCACCCTTGCACTGTTTTCTACTAATGAGATCTCTTATCTAACTTTCTCAGCAGCAGCTTCTTGCTTTCTTTCCTTGCATTTGGAATTTAAAGTAAAACAAGCCAAGTTGGTATCTTATGGGAAGTCCAGCTTAAAGAATTTTCCTTCTTTAGGTGGCTAATGGGCATTTTGCACTAAGAAACCTATTGCTGAAATTGGATATTAAGATTAACTGAAAGATTTCTAATTGAATACCTAGTGATCCTCATAAATTTCAAGCTGTCATGAACCTAAATCATCCATGTGATCATTCTTTAAGGCACACACTGCAAGGTCATCTTTTTTCATTATTATTTAAAAAATTGTTTTACATGTCAATCCCAGTTTCCTCTCCCTCCCCTCCTCCTGCACCCCCCCACCATCCTCCCCCATCCTCCCACCCTATTGCCAATTCCTTCCACATAGGGGATATCTAGAGTCTGTCATTTCACTCAGGGTAGGGTCCAGGCACTCCCCTAAGAGTCCAGGCCAAGAGAGCATCCCTCTTTGTGTTATGGACACACGATGTCAGTTTGTATTCGAGGGATAAACACTGATCCACTGCTCAGGGTCCCATAGGTTGCCCAGGCCTCCTCACTGACTCTCACATTTAGGGGGTCTGGATCAATCCCATGCTGGCCTCCCAGCTGTCGGTCTGGGGTCCTAGAGCTCTCCCCTGTTCGGATCAGCTGTCTCTGCTGGTTTTGCCAGCCCATTCTTTGCCAATTTGCTCATCGCTCGCAAGGTCACCTTTAACCCAAAGTGTTTAAATGTAGATCTGCTGGGACCACCCTATTCTTTGTCTTCTGTTTCATAGGAATACAGAGAAGCCTCAAAATGACATAGCAAGCAATACTTTGGAACAAACTTGGATTTCTCACTATGTATGGAGACAAGGTTTCAGAAAGTTGCAAACTTTAAAAGAGAAAGAACCTGGGGTGGTGTAGTCACTGAGAATTGGCTAAATTGAGAATGTATTAACTACATCACAGTCTTGCCTTTCATGACTAATATAAGGGCAGAACTAAGCAGATTAATTCAACATGATTAGAAGTAATCAAATGAATTCTTTAATTAACTGTTTTGAGCCTGATAACAGGTCTAATTCCCAGTATAGCTGCTTTCTATTTTCTTCTAAGAGAGGGAAGGAAGATGAATCATAAACCAGAAGATTATACCTTCTATAACGAAGGAGACAAAATAACAATAGCTCCCACACAGTCTTGACACCACTCAGAAACTGGCAAAGCAGGTAGGTCCTTAAAAACCCACATTACATTGAAAACTTTGTTTTGCCCTTCCTTTATTGATATAAGAGCTCTAAACTTTCACTGTGTATTCCAAATTCGTAAGGACATACTATACTGGCTAATAAATAACAAGGACAAAGCAAATAAATTAAACTCCAGAGGAGTCTCAGAGCCCTGATTTGCTTTTCTAGTGAATTTTACCTATCATTTGATGAAGAAAAAATTATGTTGTGTGTGTTTGTGTGTGTGTGTGTGTGTGTGGTGTGAAGAAGCAGTAATGGGTTTTGAAACCAACCAGTTTCTTTTTAAAAAGCAAAGATAACCACTGAAATAATGAACCTTTCCCAGCAGTTGATAAGTCATCCAAACCTTTCAAACTGTTGCTAACATCTACTCTATTTTGAGGCCACTGTGTAAAATTTAAATCAAAGATTAAAACATTGATTTTAAGGTTAGCATAGAACAACATCAATTTAATATATTATATCCTGGAAGACTGTCTGAAGTCTCCATTAAAATCAAAGTATCTGGAGGTCTTACTTGAGTTTCAATGGGATTAGGAGGCAATCATTTATTTGTCTTCTTTGGCATCTAGAAGTTGGTTGTATTCATGTCTGAAAAGATCTTCCCTCCATTTTGAAAGCCAGAGTTATGAATCTCTTTCACCATTCTGCACACTTGTTTCCTTCTAAAAAGAAAAAAACATTGCATTTTGGAATGAATTCTGCTTACTAGATTGCGTCCACCTGGGTCTTACCGTAGAGTTGCCATCACAAGGAACCCAGTTTTAGTCCTTTTGTCATAACATAGTGTATCCACAGATTCTGAAGATTAGGTCCAATATCCAGGTGAGAGCGAGTGCATTCCATGCTCCACATCATATTAAGACCCAATGCACCAGAACATGACTTAAGGTACAGTTCCTTCTGGACATGGTTCTCTCTTCAGTGAAATGTGGTGAACACTGAATTTATCTGAGCTTTCACTAGGCAATTATAGGTCTGAAGGTAGAAAGTAGAACAGTATAATTTCATGTGGGCTTCTTCTTGCTATAAAATCTGTGATCATGTTATTTTAATGTGGAAATCTAAGTGTTTATTTGAGGAAATGTGTGTATAGAGAAAGACAGAATTTTGCCCACTTATTTCTGTGTTCAGTTTCTCAGTGCTTATATGCACATGACTAAGCCACTCAAGGGCTCACTCTCAGGGATCCATATTATTATTTTATTATAGTTTCTGTTAGAAAATTTTGGATATCAGGTAAAAGGGGAAGTGACAAATTAAATAAATGGACTGGTTTAATTCAATATCTTAACAAGTGTGTGTACCAATCCTCAATCATGCAATTAAAAGGATAAGGTTACCTAGAGAATATGGCCCAAGAAATCAACTAAGTAAGGTTCACATGAGCTCACATAGACTGAAGATTCAAGCACAGGACCTGCCCAAGTCTGGACCAGGTCTTCTGCATATATGTTATGGTTGTTAGGTTGGTGTTTTCATGTAACTCCTAAAGGTGGGAGTGGGTGTATCTCTGACTCTTTGCCTGCTCTTGAGACACTTTTCCTCCTAGTGAGTTGCCTTGTCCAGCTTTGATATGAAGGCTTCTTCTTTGTTTTCTTGTATCTTGTGTTGTCCTTGTTTGGTTGTCCTCTCTTGGAGGCCTGCTCTTTTCTGATGAGGAAAGTGTGGGAGTGGCTCTAGGAGAGAGGGGAGCTGGGGAGCTGGTAGGAGCAGAGAGAGGGGAAACTGTTGTCAGGATGTATTGTATGAGAGAAGATTCTTTTTTAATTAAAGAAAGAAAATTAACAATAAAATAAGATTCAAAAGAAGACTGTAAGTCCTACATGTGTAAGAGTTAGCAGAAATAGCCACTAGTCTGATACAGTGCTGATGGAGTCCTCTATTGTCTTCAACTGTCCTGTGAAAGCTCACCAAAAATACATCAGTAACACAAACATTAAAGTAAAACCTGAGTTGGAATTTCTTCTCTTCTTGCTCTCAGTTCTATTTGGTACAGATTCATTAGCCTTCCTAACTTCACTGCATCATCTGTCAGTAATTCACAGAGCTATTGAAAATGTTAGGTGAAGTAAAGCCTATTCTGGTTGGTATTTTTATCAGTGTGACACAAGCTGGAACCATCTGAAAGTAGAGAGCCTCGGGTAAGAAAAACACCTCCATAAAATTGGTCTATAGAGAAGTTTGTGGGGGGATTTATTGATGTGGGTGGGCTCGGTTCACTCTGGATTTTGACACTCTGGGCAGGTGGTCCGGAGTTTTATAAGAAAGCAAGCTAGCCAAGCCAGGGGAACAAGCCAATAAGAAGCAGTCATCCATGGTCTTTTCTTCAGTTACTGCCTCCAGGTTCCTGCGCTCACTTCCACCAGTGATGGAGAGTGGCCTGAGAGTTGGAAGCTGAAATAAACAATTTCGTCTCCAAGTTGCTCTCAGTCATGGTATTTACCATAGCAACAGAAACCTAAAAAAGGTAATGTAGATTCAATGGTTACTACATTCCTAGTATGCAAGTACAGCCAGTTCATAAGGACTATTGTATATCCCATTATTGCTCCTGCTTCAGTAAATCAACCAGTGGACTGACGGACTCAGCCCTCTCACTTTGACCACTTAATTTCACCCTGAATTCATTAAGCATCTGCTTCTCCAGGTAAATAAGGAGCAAAACTGACAAACTGCATCCTTTACTAAGGCAGACATCCTAGTACAGACAAGTAGGAAAAAACAATCAGAAGGCAGTAAGCATCCCCAAACAATAACATGTCAGGTTATGATGAGTTCTGTGGAGGAATAAATAAGATAGTGTGACAGTATCACCAAGAAGTTTGCTATTGACTAGTAAGGTATAGATAATCAATGCAATTTCACAGAAAAGGGGAGGATATAATGCACAGATGTTCACGGACATTATGATAGTTAGATGCAGTTGGGAAGAAGTACAGGATTCTGAGAAAGGATCTAATTAAGGAGATAAGAGTTTGGCTCTTATTATAAGGGAAATCTGAACGAGGAAGGTAAACAGTGAATGTTATCAAACCAAACAGAGCAGAGTATAGAGCAAATGAGAAACAGAAATCATGTTTGATTATAACAGAGTAACTGATGGGAGAAATGGTATGAAACATAGTGAATAGGTAGCTAAAGCTATAGTTTTCAAGGTGTAGAGGCTTTGAGTAAATTATACTTTATGAGAATCCAGGGGGCATAAAAACCATAGCAGTCAAGGAAATCATGCTTTTAAAAATGTGCAGCTGTATGTCGTCTGTGCACGTGTGTGCTGTGTGTGTGTGTGTGTGTGTGTGTGTGTGTGTGTGTGTGTGTGTGTGTGCCTGTGCCATGATGCACATGCACATGTTAGGGTACAGCTTATACAAATTGGTTCTCTCCGGAACATTCTCTCCGTGTCGGTCATGGTTGGTAGAACTCAAGACATTAGGTTTGATGACAAGCTACTTTACTTACTCTGTCATCTTCCAGGACCAAGGAAGACACATTTTTACAAAATTATAGCTTCAGAGATAATTACATTTATATTTAAGATGGTAAAATGATGAGTTTTTAAAGAATGAGTCAGTCAGCGACTGGAGAGATGATTTAGTAGATAAAGCATTTAACTGAGGACCAGAGTCTGAACCCCAAAATCCTAGACTAAGGCTGGGCAGATGAGGCGGCTCCTTAGGAAGCAGTGACAGGGAATCACCAAAGCAAGCAAAGTAGCCAGGAGAGCTGGAATTGCTGAGTTCTGGGTTCAGGGACAGACTACCACATTAAACAGGGAGCAATGAAGGCAAGTGTCTGCTATCAACTGTGGCCCAGTATGCACACACATACCCAATCATGCTCACGCGCATGGGTGCACGCACGCACGCACACACACACACACACCACACACACACACGTACGCACACACGCATGCACTGGGGGAGGAGGCAGGAAGTCAGAGAGACTCAAAGGTTACCGTGACATTCCTGAGGAAAGAGTATGGTGTCTAGACTGCACAAGAGGACTGGCGGCCAGATTTAAAGAGATATGCGTCACAGAATAGGAAGACTTGTGTTCTTGGGGGAGGTGACGGGAAACTTTTCCTCAAATGATAAAACCTTCTTTGTCTTTGCCTCACGTTTATTGATGAATGTTGCCAGTATTCACAAGGTTAGATAAGAAAGACTGTGGAGATCTGGAGCATGATTGGCAGAAAGAAAGGAGAGTTATATTGGGAACATATTTTTGAGCAGCCTGTGAATCACGATAACAATGTGATCTGAGGGTGACAAGGATCTAAGTAGGAATGACAGTCTTCTCAGGTGTGCTTTCCTGTTTGTATTCCAATGGTGTTGCACACACCTCCGTCATAGTTCTATGTCTCATGCTGCAGCATGTGCATGTATGATCATGTCCGCACAGGGCTGTGGGTGAGCTCTTTAAGGATTATCTTTAATTTATTTAGGTAATACTCAATGTCTAGCATAAAATAGTATGTCCCTCCCCATGCTCTCCAAATAAATATATATTTCATTAGTGGTTCTCTAAGTTATCAGTTCTATATTCAAGAAGTCTTTCTCTATTAGAAAAACAACTTTTTTGTGGTAAATAGAACCTTCTAATGTCACCCAGTACATTTTCATTGTTTCTTTTATTTCCATGTATCCAATAACTCTCACTAGCAACTTTTACAAACAACCCCAAGATTTGAGTCTAAAAAAAGGAAGGAAAAAGCAGTTTTCCCTTGGTCCAGAAAGGAGATGTCTCGGTAGAGAGGTATGTCAGAGAAAGTCTCTGATACCCAAATATCCCACGTGATTTGTGTGTGTTGACAAAATGGTGCACTTTTCCATTCTAGTAAACTTGGACTAGAGAGGCATGGAGGACCTGCATGGTGAAAGGTGTCAGAGTTCCCCACACACATTCCTCTCAAAATGAACTGAGAGGGAGACTTCTCAGAATTTGGAATCTGTGATACAGTCATGGTGAACAAATGACTAGGAGTGCACAAAATCACTCAAAGACTTCTGTTTAACTTCCGACTGGTACAAACATCCCCAGGTTGATTTCATCTCAAAATAGTTATTTATTTTTAAGGACACTTTTCAAAGTGTGCAAGAGCCAGTGCCTTGAGGACATGCACAGCTGTCACAGCAGTGCCAGTGATTGATGAAAAGGAAGGGTCCAGGCCAAGAATGCATGCACTCTGAGGGAAGTAAAGGATCGAATAGATAATTCCACAGAACAGGGGCCCTGTGCTCCCTTCACAGCCACATGAAGCGCCTACCCAGCAGTGACTCTACCTGATTGGAACTGAATGCTCCATTATGCTCCTTAGAGCTCCACAGCCCTCCTGCACACTGACTCCATTCCTGCTGCTCACAGGCAAAGTGCACGGCAGGTCATTTCTGAAGGTTCCATTCCCAAGGGAACATTTCTGACATGTTTGATGCCTGTGTTGGTAGCCCTAGCCTTATCCCGGGATCAGGGGCTTGCTCTTTCTTTGTCACACTTAGACCTTTCTTAAGTACGGAGTAACTGTACTTCACAAAAGCTTCAACAAAAGGCGCTATTATTCTAATCGAGGTCCAATTTTCTTTAACCCCTTTCTTTACCTATGAGAAACCAAATTCACATTAAGTCAACGTACATTAATATGTGTGATCTTCTCCAAGCAGCTCAT